CCTGTTAGAAAGCCTCGTTTTCCTTCTCTCTGGCTGAAATCCTGCTATGCTTCCACCTAAAATGTCCTCCCGCTCCTTTGGAACCCTTCCATCACGCCCCTCCTTATCCCATAGACCTAGAAGTCCTATATTTCCTTGTATTCTATGGTATAACCAGGGCTCATATTTCCCCCTTCTTTTATTGACAAACACAGGGCTTCTATTTTTCATGTTCCCTTCCACATAACCAGCATGCCTAATTTACCCGTGTTCCATGGAGACTCTCTCACGCCCTTCTTCCCTCTTATTCTATGGCAGTAACCAAGCAACGGACAGGTCGTCCATCTTCCCCTTGTTCTGTGGACATGACCAGGGCCACGGGTAGAGCCAAGGCCTTTATTCCTGTTATTTCACAGACAGAACAGGGTCCTCTATTTCCCCCTTTCCACAGAAATGTCCAGAGACCCTACTTTGCCCTGTTCCATGGGAATATCAGTCTCCTTACTCCCCCTATCATACGCAAGCCACTATTTCGCCTTCATTCCATAGGTTTAACTAAGCTCTGCTTTCCCTCTTCATCCTATGGACATCACCGGGGTACTCTATTTTCCACTACTAGTTTACGTGACCAGAGTCTTTTCATTATTCCATCGCTTGGCAGGACCTGAAGTTCCTTCTTATTCTATTAACATGACCAGGGAAGTTATTTCCCTTTTTATGGTGGCCATGGCCATGTTTCCAATTTTATTCTTATTCCTAACATCTAAGACTGCATCTTTCCTTTATTCCATGGAAACCATCAGACCTGAAACCATATTTTTCTGATCCCTACCCCCAGACTCACTAGGCTTAATGTCTTCCTTTTCCTGTGTATACACAGCCAGGACCCTTATTTCCCTCCTTTCATGTGTCCCTGTGTTCTGTGGGCAGGACCAGGTTTCCCGCAATCGTCATGTTACCAAGACACAGCCAGGTTCTCCTTTTCCATGACCCTAAAAAGTCATCCCCAAGGCTTCTATTTTCCCCAAATTCTAAGACATCATAAGGCTTTTATTTCCCCATTTTAATGACATAAGCAGTACTGTGTTTTCCTCTTTTTCCATAACCAAGCTCCTTAATTTTTTTAGAAGTTCTTGTCTTAGGTCATGTGCGCTCGCCAGAGAGATATTCAGAGACAGTGAAAGTGAAAGTGAAAAATCACCTCCCAGGAGAGATGGCCACATTGCAATCCATTCTCCTCCATTCTCCTCTTGGGATCTTGGGCATGCACACACACACGTGCCCAGTGTGATTTTGAAACCAATCGGTCTGGGACTCAGATGGTGGTCAGCCATGTGGGAGTCCAACGATATAGCCACTCTGTCATCTGCTAGCCCCAATTTCCTCTTATTCCATGGACATAACTGACCCCTGTGCTCCTTTCATTCCGGGACATAACCAGTCTCATGTTCCCTCACCATGGACATAACCAGGCCACCATGCTTCTCTTATGTACAACCATTGTTGGGAACCCAATTTTCTTTTCTTTTCTTTTCTTTTTTTTTTTGGCGTGGTTTTTGTTATGAGCCACGTAGCTAGACAGAGACGGAGAGACAGAAAGCGAGAAATCACCCCACAGGGGGGATGGTCACGCCGCAATCCCTTCTCCTCCATTCTCCTCTCGGGATCTTGGGCATGCACACACACGCGCCCGGCATGAGTTTTAAGCCACCGGGTCTGGGACGTGAACTGCGGTTGACTACGTGGGAGTCCAGCGACACAGCCATTACTCTAACTGCTGGTCTCAAACCCAATTTTCTTATTTGTTCATGAAAATGTGTCCCCTCTTTGCCTTGGTATGCACGTGGTCAGTCTCCTATTTTCTCCCTATCCGTGGACGTGGCCTGATTCCTCTTTGCCCTTGCTCCATGGACATGATGAAAGCTCCTATGTTTTTCCTCATTGCATGAAGACAATGTGATCTAGGGTACTTCCCGTAGTCTGAGGCAGGCATCGGAGTTCCGTTGCCACAGTAGAGTATTTTTCCCATGCAGGGATGTCACCAGGCTCAGGGCTTCTCGCTAGCTTATGGATGGGGTCAGCCCTTGTTTTCACCTTGTTCCATTGCTAGCTTGGAATATGTGGACCGGGTTTTCCATGCAGCAGTGAATCAAAGTGAGTTGCTGAGCACGAGGGTTTTTGGTTTTTATTTTTTTGAGAGATTTTTGCTATAGGGCATGTGCGCTTGCCAGAGTGGCAGACAGAAGAGAGACAGAAAGTGAGAAATCACCCCCCCTCCCCACCAAGGGGGAATGGCCATGTCACAGTCCCTTCTCCATTCTCCTCTCGGGGATTTTGGCCATGCACACACACATGCCCAGCGTGAGTTTTAAGCCACTGGGTCTAGGACTTGAACCTCAGTCAACTATATGGGAGTTCAGCGATGTAACCATTACTCCATCTGCTGGTTCCTGAGCCCAAGGTTTATTGACAGATAGAGATAAAGATGGTACTTTCCACAGGAGGAACCGGCCAGTGCCAAGGAAGCAGATGCCTGTGTCCTTCCCAGCACCCTGCTTAGATCCTGCTGCCCCAAGATCTCCTCCTGCTTGCTACTTTTTACCTTTGTTTTCCTATCGTTTTTTCTCCTGAGTCTCATGAGAGAGGGAGTTATTTTGAGAGTCTCAAAAAGTAAGTGGTTTGGGACCAGCAGGTGGTGTAGGCGGTTAAGGTGTTGTACTCCCACGTGGCTTACTGCAGTTCGAGTCCTGGACTCAGCAGCTTGAAACTCATGCCAGGCGTGTGTGCCTGCATGCCCAGAATCCCAAGAGGAGAATGGAGAAAGGACTGCAGTGTGGCCCTCTAACTTTCTATTTCTCTATCTCTCTGGTGAGCATGCCCTGTAGCAAAAATATCTCTTTTTAAAAATTTTTTTGGAGAGATTTTTGCTATAGGGAATGTGCGCTCGCCAGACAGACAGAGACAGAGAGCAGGGGGGATAGCCACGCCACAGTCCCTTCTCCTCCATTCTCCTCTCAGGATCTTGGGCACGCATGCGCACACGCCCGACATGAGTTTTAAGCCACCAGGTCCGGGACAGGAACCGCGGTCAACTACGTGGTAGTCCAGCGACATAGCCATTATGCTAACTGCTGGTCCCACAAAATTATCTCTTAAAAAAAAAAAAAAGAAAGAAAGAAACAGCAAGTGGTTCTATAGGCCCCCCTTAACCCTTTGTGCTCTAGGTATACTAGTCAAAGCCTAGCAACGCAGACATGTCCCAGGCTCACATATGCTTTCCAATGTACGAACACAGTCAGGGCTCCTGCTGCAGCTTTATTCTATGAGCATGATGGGGACTTCCTTGTTTAACCCTGGACATGACAAGGCCCTCATCTCCTCTTGCCCATGGCCATGAAACAGCCACTATGTTCACTTACTCTGGGAAGTGACCAGGTCAGCGATTCCTCCTCTGGTTTGCAGCTGTAACCTAGCTCCGTGTGTTCCCTGTATACCACGGAGCTCTCTAGAATCCTGCTTTCTAGTATTCTGGATCT